TGTGAAGGTGACTTTTTAAAACCTTCACAGTGTTTTTGCTGTGAAGGTTCGATTTTTTTTAAACCTTCACAGTGTTTTTGCTGTGAAGGTTACGTGTAAAAATGTGGTCTCACGGGTCCACGAAAATAGGTTGATCTCACGTGAACCCAACCCTATATATATATATATATATATATATATATATATATTCATTTATTATTAAATGATAAATATATTGATCTTTTATCAAATGGGTACCCAATGGAATCTTCAAACTGTCGGGGATTTCTTTCTCCCAAATCCGCAAGGAATTAGTCGGGGCAGAGGATACATCATACATCTATACTATATTATAAAGCATTTGATAAAAACTATTTTTTATGCATGAACTATTGTATATTGATCCATATTACTTAAAATTCAAGATTACAAGTAATTATGCATAAGTACAACTTATTAAAGCTCGATGTTTAAATTTGTATAACTAACTGTGAATAAACATAATCAAATAGAGGATAAACATCTCATTTTAAAATATAAAAAATTTAAACTATAATTAAGATGATTATCGAGTTCTAACAAAATAATTAATTATCATCTTTATAAGAAAATTATATTATTAAACCAAATATAAATTAATCCATTATTGAACCTAAATTAAATTATAATAAAAAATTAAATTAAAAATTACACAAAAAATAAGAATTTTAAATAGTTAATTTGACATTAATATCGATATATTTTTGTCATATTTTTATGATATCTTCAAATTTATATTTTATTAAAAAACAAAAAAATCATCGCTTTCTTAAAATCACATAAGACCATATTATTACATCGACTGAGATGAAGAATAAAATGAAATATTAAAATCAAGATGTATCTCGCTGCATTGCACGAGTACCTTTCTAGTTATTTTATAATATCTAAATCATTTAATGTTTTAATGTCTAAATTAATAAAGTTTCATTATATTAAATTTAATATTTTTTATTTTTTAATTATATTTCATTTCAATGGATTTTGTTCCTTAACTTTATTTAATGGTTTTGATTTCTCAAAAAAAAAAAACATTATCGATTTCTTAAAACCACATAAAACCGTATTATAACATCGACAAAGAATAAAACGAAATATTAAAATCGAGATCCATCTCATTATATTACACGAGTAACCTTATAATCTATGCTACATTATAAAGCATTTGACAAAAACTCTTAAAAACAATATTTTTGCATGAAGTGCTGTATATTGATATATATTACTTAAAATTCAATATTACAAATAAATTGTGCATAAGTACAATTTATTAAAACTTTAATTCGTGTAAGTAACTGTAGATAAACATAATCAAATACAAGATAAACATATCATTTTAAATATAAAAAATTAAAATATAATTAAGATAATCATT